TATATCACATTATGTGCTATCGTGAGTGCACGTATGTATGTAAACGTTGTGGTCTCCTTACACGGCACAGCTTCAGCACTCCTCAACACACCTGATACTAATCCCATACCATGTACAGCCGACTCTTACATACAACCGAAAGCTAGGCTAAACCAGAGACCACGCCAGAAGGACATGCAACAACTGTCAGGGACAACTACATACACGACACTGGAATACTTCTCGCCTCTATAATCTGATACCAATCCCGGCTTAACATGTATGCATAGCCCCAGTATTAAAAGGCTAGTCACGTTGAGCATACCAGGCGAGGATAATGAAGAGGGTTGTCATGACAACGAAGTCCAAGAGCACAGCCACGGGCAACAGTGACCGCACACTGCACCGTGATCGGCGCACACTTGCACTGGGCATGACGGCGGTATGTTATAGAAATTGCCTATAAGACTTACTTGTGGTGATATGTTACAACAGTTGTTTATAAGACCTACTTGTGGTGGTATGTTACAACAGTTGTTTATAAGTTTTACTTGTGGTGATATATGGTAGCTAGTGTCCTGAATGGGCAATGCAGGTGGTAGAACAATCTGTTATAGGTACTTGTGGTAATATGTTTCTGAATATGAGATTTAGATAGTAGGCTAGGCTGTTATAGGTACGTATGGTAGTATGCTAGGCAAGTGTTTCGTTTACGCCTTGGACTTTTATTGTACGAAGGAGCAATAAACTCGTTCGATGTAAAATAGCGCAGGTGATTATTCTGAGCGAGCAGAACAATGCCCCTTGTAAACAGGATGTGGATATATGTATTCAAAATAATACGAATGAACTGGACTGCTTTTTTAAATTAAACCCTAAACCCAAGGGGTCATCTATGACTCATATATTTATGATGCATGTATGTATGCGACAAAATGTAAATATGTGGAAATGTTTCAATTTCTATAAATTAAGAAAAGAAGTCTATGAAAACCCCCCACAGTACATACATATTTTTGATTTTTAAAACAAAAACAAAAACAAAAACAAATGTACCTGTACAAACATAAAACTTTTTGTGCGAATAGGAACTTTGTGTATTTAGGACTGTTCCACGGACCAGTCGGGACCACGAACCCTCTAACTATTGCAGTGAGAAGGAGGGAGGGAGGGAGAGTGAGAGAGAGAGGAAGAAAAAAAGAAGAAAGAAACACATACACAAATGCACTAAAGTATGTAGGTCAGTATTTTGTTATTCTCTCGCCCCTACCCCACCTGCGAATCTTTGGTTTAGCATCTTAGTATACTTGGAATTATGAGAAGAGTATACGTGCTTTATTTGCGACGTCAAAGCGCTACCACAGCAGATCGATAACGACTACGACACTGAGCTCCAGAAAGATGCTTCTTTACACCTGTCACACGGTCCCAGATGGTATGTCATTCACATAAATTATAAAATTATATATATATATATATATATATATACATATAAATATATATATATGTATATATATAATATATATATATATATATATATGTAATATATATAATAATACAATAATATAATAATATAATAATATAACAATATATATATATGTATATGTATATATAATATAACATAATATAATAAATGTAATATATGTAATATAATATATATATTTTATGGTATTCTCCACACAGCCACGCAATAGGCATCTTGACTTCAGACATTTGCATAAGTATTGGCTAAATAGTGGAACCAGAGTACGGGGACATATATATTGATGTATATTGTATATGCAATTCTTGTCGCAGTACTTTCACATACACCTATGAGTAGAGCGTATGATATGCTATCATATTTTTGAGCCACTTAGCTTTTGAGATAATTGGTTCTTAAATATGTTTCAGTAAAATTTATACACTCCTCCGACTGTACCCTGCGTCGACGAGGGGGAAGGACATTCTGTGATCCTCCACAAGAACCATACGATATATATATATATATATATATTTATGTATATGTATGTATATATACTGTAGACTTCTAGCCCTCCAAGAAATACCCAGGTTGATCCGGGCAATTATCGGGTAAACTCTCATCCTGTCCAACGTCATTCGTCTCGGTCTTCTGTCCCCCGCCATCACTGCTTGTATATGTCGCACCATTCACACTCGGCTCCTTGCCGTTGCTAGGCAACGCGGTGGGTTGTTTGGCCGGGGCTACCCCGGCGGCAGTGTCGCCCGCACTCTCCTTAGCAATGGGAATTGGTTGTGACATCTTGGGGATTGGACCATTGCTTTCTTGTACACCGGCTGAGCCGTTCGGTATATGTCCCTTACTAGGCCCAGTCGAGTCGCCAGACGCAGTCTCTGTACCTACGTGTGCAATGCCCTCAACCGTTCCAGTTTTGGTCGGTCCAGGTGCGCTCGTTTCAGGTGCACTGGGGCCAGTGGCCTCGTGCGTAGTGCCCCTACTTGTTTCAAATGGGGCCATCGTGCTGACGCCAGGTACAACCGGCCTAGCTGTCTCGGGAACAGGGGACTTCGCCTTGGCCACACCCGTGGCTCCACTCGTCATAGAGGTCTCAGGTGTAGTTGCTGCATCCTTTGTAGCACCTATGCCTCTGTCAGCCGTCTGTGTAGTTACTTCTGTGGTCTCCATAGCAACCGTTCCTTTCTCAACTGTCTGTGTACCTGTATCCGTTGCCGCGGTAGTCCTCACCGGAACGGTGTCCTTGTTTGGGATCGGTCCGTCGGCGCTCTTGTCTGGGGCATTCTTGGTGGTGGCGGCCTCATCCTCATCACTACTATAGTCCACTACACCCATACTATGACTCGCCCCCTGAACACCATCTCTCTCTCTCTCCTCCTTCTCCGCCTCTACACTCGCACTCAGTGTAGTACCCAGTGGACTGCCCACGCCGGCTGCACCCGAATCCAGATCTTTTTGGACCGGTCCACTCGCCGGCTCTGGGGAGTCCCTCTCCCCGGTTTCGCTCATTTCGCCCACAATCTCGTCGTCCAGAGTCTCATCCGTCTCCAACCCCAGCCCAGTCTGTTCCTCCGCAGGTGCCGAACTGACCTTCGCAACCGTCTCGGCCTCTCTGGCCTTGTGCGCACTCGCAGCCTCCTCTAACACCCCACCCCCCATACCATGCAAGGCTAAACTTGTGCTACTAGTACCATCTGCCACTGTCTCCCCAACACCAACACTACCGCTACCACCAACGTCATTAGCGGCGTGGGTTGTGCTATTAACATCCGCTGCCATTACCTCCCCAGCCGCCCCATTCGCCACGTGTGCGGTGCTGTCCGGCCCTAACCCTCCCTCTATCCCACCCCCACCGCTCTGCGTATTCTTACTCGCATTCTGCGTCGCCTGAGCCATCCCTATGCTACCACCGGCAGTGTGTGCGTGTGCGTGCGTGTGTGCTGGGTGTGTCGGTGCAAGGTGCTCCCCTTCCGCAATAACTCGTGCGTGTGCGTGTGCGTGTGCGTATGTGTGGTCTGTTCTGGTTGTACCCATCACGGCGTCGTGGTACGCATACGCCCTCTCCAGAAGCACTCGAGGATCGGCGCGTCTGCCTGTGGACCGAGTGTATGGGTTGGTGTAGGTAGGTGGTACATAAATTAGCGTTAATGGGCCACGTGTACGGGTGAAGATGTAAGAAGTACCATACAGCTATACACGTTCCTGCGGAGGAAATAAAGTGGTACTGATGTGGGGTGATGATCAGGTTCCGACCAAGATCAGATTTACCAAGATCAGATCCAATCGAATCCGTGCATTTTAATCAACCCGTCTCCCATGCCATTCTTTTCCGTCCTGTCTCACTACCCACTGTACATATTACCTGATACCTTTTCGTACAGAGGAGGAGGATGGGGGGGAAGGGTTGCCCAGAAGCTTTCCTTATGCTTGGGATTCGTTGAGTAGGTTTGATGCAAAGGCGAATGCTATGTGATGGGGTGTTGGGCAGAGTCCGTCAGAATGTAGTAAGAGATACACACAATGCGGGCAATAAAACTGAGTTAAGAGATTAGCAGAACGAAGCACAGGAATGCATGGTAGTCGTATGGGATCATAGGGCATGTGTAGTTGTAGATAAGCAGGACTAGTAGATAAAGCTAATGATATAAAAAATATTAGTGTATAATATATATATATATACGATATATATAAATATATAAACGCACACACACATAAAAATTCTACACAATGGTCACGAAGACAAACCTGGTGTTGGCAGATTCTTGCCTCGCGTGTGCGGCTTCTTTTGCGGTGGCTCCGCCGGTGCTGCTGATATAAAGTAGCAAACGAGTATGAGGGATGCAGCATGCATCAATGTGGATGATATACATATATATACATATATATATATACATACATATATATATATACATACATACATATATATATTTACATATATATATATAATACAATATAATATAATATATTCACACACACACACACACAC